AATCGGTGCTGTCCCGCCAAAATCGATACGAATGGTCACCGTACTTATGCTTCAAACAAAACTTGTACAGTGTGGACTTAAATGTTAATTTTAAATTTACGTTAACAGAAAATCTTACGTATCAACGTTAACGTCTCTCCCCATAAATATTTGTGTATGTGTGTGTGTGTACGTACTCATATTAATTTTCTTTTCGTCAAATGAACGAATAACAAAACCTGTATCTGTTAAGCAAGATCACACCCACAAACACAAAAGTATACTGCATATAAACACAAACTTGCTTATGCAAAATTTCTAGCATGAGAGTAGAACATTTGCTACAGGCAGGCTGATCAAAAATTCCGCGGATTTTCTGTTTTTAAATATAAAAATACAGCCGAATTTGTCGAAATAATTTTTTTTTCACCTCGTTATATTTTTTAGTCTCTGGCATTTATTTTTGAAACACTATATCCTTCAAATGCCCCCCCGAATGCGTACACCAAATTTTCCATATCCATTTGGCATAGTTCGGGCTGTATATCATTTATAACGTGTATGATTTTGTTCTTCAACTCTGGAATCGTATCGGCCTTATTGCCATAAAACATACTTTTCACGTAGCCCCAGTGAAAACAAGTGCAATGGCGTCAATCTCGCCAGTCATTGTTTTGTGACTTAATGCGTCCTGGGAACTTCGGTCACAATAAGGATATTTCTTCCTGGACTATGTGGCCAGTGGCACCGTTGTGTTGTGTTTGAATCCACATATTGTCCCTTTCATCTAATTTTGATCAGTTTGATGTCATGTGACGAAACGTTCACTGTTCACCGTGACAGCATTACCGTGATCATTTTCGAATAAGTACGGTGCGCTGATTCCGGAAGCCCAAAAACCACACCAAACTGTGACTGGTTGTGGGTGCATAGATTTTCTTGAATGGCATGTGGATTTTTACTACCCAATACCCGGCAGTTTAGTTTATGTCGAACGACCATTTTCATAAAACGTTTGAATCATTTTTGCGTCCACGACTAATTTTGCCAAAACCAGTTGTATGAAAAAAGCCAAAAAACATTAACAAGTAATTGCTGTAAAAGATCTGGATCACCCTATATATTTAGGAGCAGCAAGGTGCCTGCAAAAGTAAACCGTAGGTGAGCGTCCATGAAGTCCTTTAGAAAAAATCCTGCTGTCATAGAGGATAACTTCAAACTCAGTTTTACTATATTTGGACCCGAGTTTCGCGAGTATTTTAGCTTTTTATTAGTTTTTGTTTGGGTAAAAATGACTTTCGCAGGCTGTCAGATGGTGTCTACATTTGTAGACTACCGGCCAGGAGATAGTCATTTTTAAAAGAAGGGTTTTGAAGGTCTCTGTAATAATGAACACATGAAGGTTACATTTTCAGATTTGTTGAATGAAGGATTGTATCTTCAACATGAGATACTTCAAAGAAGAGGGATACCAGGAAAACATCGTAAAAGTAAATAAGTTTGGAAGGGATGTAAAGGTCCGCTTTACAACTCAGCTCGATCCGAATGCTTGCACTGTATACACTAATCGATTCCCTCGTTTCGTTTTAAGGGCATCTTTTTATAGTTTATCTCTGAATAGATTTTCTCTAATTAATTCAGTTTGATGCTTTTACATCAGTGTTGCCATTTTGGTGCTTTTGGAGCTAGATTTAGCTCTTTATTTTTCTATTTAGCTCCGAAAATTGGGTTTTAGCTCCTAGCTCTTTCTTTAGCCCTTTTCAAATTTATCTAGCACTTTTTTAGCTCCAGAAAGTTTTAGTTGTATTTGGTATATATAAGCCAAAACTTAAGCGTTGATAAAATGGAAATTTCGAGATGCAGTGTATCCACCATAAGCTCTTGGATCTAGGTTAAAGAATTCAAAAATGAATTAGAAGAAAATCCTTTTTCTGATAGCGCGGATTTTGTTTTACCTTACTAATTTTAGCTTTAAGGAGAGCTGGAAGTAAAACTTTCCAGAAAAATTTTCCGAAAATATTATTCAATTCAAATACCTGAAATTACAGACTTTAACAGTTTGTAAAGTATTTTTAGTTCACTGTTATAAGTGCCATAGCAACGAATTCGAAATATATGCACCTTATTTTGGTTTTAGAAGTTTTATTCAGCACTTAAACTTACAAAATTCGTTGTTTTTATTAAAAATGCCGAAAATGTAAAAACAACTTTACGTCAAGTAATGCTCAACCTCAACAAAAATATGTACCTCTTCATTTCAGCTACTATTAGTATTATTTAGCTCTTTTTAGCTCTTTTTTTCGACCGTTTTAGCTCCAAACGAAATTTTACTCTGGCAGCACTGATTTATGTCCTAAAAAAATTAAAACTATCTTCCAAGTTCTCCAAATTATTGTCTCCTAAATTATGCGCATATATATTCTCATATTGGCGGCAAGAGTGCGAAGGCGTGAACAACAAGTTTAAGTCAAATTTACGCATGTCAACCTCAACTTAAATTAAAATGCTAATTTTATTACAAAAAGTGCACAAGATGCAAGAAAATTACAGAAAAACAAAAAAAAAATCTATTGCGTTAACTTAAAACAATGGAGGCGATTTCTGCTTCCAACTAAAAAAAGAGCAAACTCGATCAAAAGCTTACAAAGATAATAAAAAAAGAGCAATCAGAAACCAACAAGACAGTGCAATTTTAACTTCGTCTAAGCAGGCGCAGCTAATGCAGTTGACAAGCCAATCTGCGACCGAGACTTACAGGCTACAAAATCAAAAGTGTAGCAGACAAAGTGAATAAATTGTCACACCTTCATATGGCGAACTGTAAATAAACAAAAGAAAAAATATTTAAAACGAAAATGTGATGCACTATACATAAGTACATACATATTTATTTATAAATGTATATGCAAGAACAAACCCTGCAGGAAATGTATCTGACTATAAGTTTATTTGAAGTTGATTAGGAAGATATTGGAGATCACTATTATCTGTATATTTTATTTGAAGAAAGCTGCATTAGATGTAGACTAACATGTAACTAACCATTTTTGGACATAAAATATCATTAACTTCAAATTACAAATAAAATTTCGATCTTCCTTCCTTTTATTCGAAAAAGTATTTGTGAAGCGCAGAAAAAAGTGTATTCAGGGTAAAATTTGTATGCGGATATTTAAATAGAAACTTATTTAAAGAAAATAATTTCCCGGCTACGTCTGCATGACTCCAGCATTACTTGTCAAAAAGGTTTAAGTTAGCTTTTTTGTAGTTAACTACAAGTTATATATTTCAAAGAAATCCCACAAAAGAGCTAACTACCAGTGTGTTGTTTTTGATAAATTGATAACTGTTCCGGCAGGGTATGCTTATACACGCTTAAAAAGGCTACCAATAGGAATCTGAAAATTTTGTCAGAGATAATATACAACTATTTTTCCTTCTGTATTATTCGGGTATGTATAACACTTTGTGATCAAAGCGAAAAAATTGCAAAATAAAAGAACACAAAACCATGAGTCAGATATAGTGAAAATGTGTTTTTGATTTTTCTCTCTGACGTCAGGATTTTTTCAAGGACTTTCAAATTTCCAAAATATGATTAATTCAAAATAATATTTAAAAAATCTGTCCAATTAGAATAACATTACGCGTAACAAATGAAAGAGAAAATTCTGTACAAAAAATGTGTGGTTCACAAGGACGCATATGTATTGAAAATGCCCATTTAGTTGATTTTATTTTTTTAAGCTAATAAAGTTAGAAGGGCGACATTCGAGAATGTTCTCGTTGTTATATTAGTCCTTAACATAAAATATTTTTAAAAATACATATAACAAATTTTCAAGGATATTGAAGGATAAAATTTTAAAAGGACTTTTTCAGTACCTATTCTTCTTGATGCACCAACAAATTTAAAAATTTTTTTTATTCTACAGAATTTTTTCTTTTATATGGTATACAGAACCAAGGAACCGATACCCGATCTGGCTGACCCCTTTGACGTTATTGACTTGAAATTCGGTTTGTTTACGTAATGTGGGGTTCTGAGTTGACCTACAAAATTTCTTTCTCATATTTGAAGCATTTAAATCGCTGTCAGATATGAAAGAGACACAAGTTGACACCTCTAACCAATGTGTCGCTCATCTTCAATTTATCGCAGGAAATTTTTTGTCAGCCCACCTCTTACGGAAGTACTGACTATGCCACTGCAGGGCAGTGATGACCTTCCTGCTAATTTTTAGTAACTAAATTTAAGTACTCATTCAGAAAGTCAGTCCTGTGTCGTAACTCGACAGCTTCTCCTTACCAGTCATTCCAGAAATCGTTAACGCCGATAATGGAGAAAAAGGATGAGGATGTAGACCTTTGCATTATTAAACCGCTGTCCATTAAGTTTAAGAATTTAGTCCAAAGCATTATCCCAAATTTATAAAACACTACCATTGAAACACCCATTAAAGATACATTTTTATTTTGCTTATTTTCCTTTGAAACTTTGTCATAAATTAATGTAAATGAAATCAGTTGCATACAATGAATTTGTTGCGCAAATTGCTACAAAACCAACAAATTAAGTTTGCAGCGAGGCGTGCGCCGAGATTATTGCGATTCGAAGGACTCGCTGTCATGGCATATTATTTTGAAAAAAATGCGCATAAACTGCACCTTTGGTCAGTAAATGCGGCTTAACACGTAACATAGAAATCAGTTTTTTTTTTTAGTTTTTAATGAATCATTTTAGAGTATTATGTTTTCAATTCCTTAGCGGCTGGCAAGCCCCTTTTGTTAAAAATAGTAAAAAAAACTCAATACAAAATTAGAATCGTTAATATGAGTTTATTGCGATATCAATCACGTTGACCAGTCAAATGGTTTAGCGTGCAATATTTAGCTACTACATTTTTGTTATTTTGACTTTATAATTAAGCAGCTAATTTGAGTGAACGAATACCTCTTATTTTACTAAAATTTTCCTACACTATTTTCTTCTTTATTAATTTTCTTACACATATACGTATGTAGGTATGTATGTGCGTCACAAAACTTGGAAAGCAATCATTACTTAGCAGTACCAGAATGTGAAGAGCTCCATGAGCTAGAAGTGGAGTGGGAAAAGGCACCGTTACCCGTATTTTGGTGACCTCCATTTTGTTGATTCCACGATGATGCAGCGGAAGTTGCTGCTGCAGCTGCGGCAGCTGAGTTACCAAATGTTTCACCACCACCATAATTATTGTGACCGCCATTAACATTCCAGCCACTTGCACTCTGACCATGGGCTGCTCCGAATGATGCCCCGCCGCCCTGCATTATAGCCAAACTCGGATTTCCTGCATTCTCTAACAACGACGCTGAGGTGTGAGCACCAGCTCCAGCTCCACCAACAGCGACATTATGAAGTTGTACATTCCCACTGCTGCCTGCTCCGAATGATGCCCCGCCGCCCTGCATTATAGCCAAATTCGGATTTCCTGTATTCTCTAACAACGAAGCTGAGGTGTGAGCACCAGCACCAGCTCCAGCAACAGCGACATTATGAACATGTACGTTCCCACTGCCATAATTTAGGATCGGACGCTCGTTAGTCTCAAAATGGTTATAGGCACTTGCACTATTACCACCTGCCGCATGCACCAAATGACCACTGTGCACTCCCGATGAATGCGCTTGAGTATTATAGAGATTACCAGTCGCCGACAAACCTCCCAAATTTGTATGTATGGAGATGGCAGGCACTTGGGCTGCACCAATTGAACCGTGTATGATTGCACCGCCTTGCCCACAGCAAGCTTTTGCTTCTAAGGTGATTTCCTTCGATTTTTCGTGGAATAGCTTCAGTATTGGATTGGCCCATGATGTGGTTATAATACAGAAGAGTATTGTGAACTGCAAAAAAATTGTAGGGGGTAAATAAATATAAATTTTAAAACATATACATATTTGTTAAAAACTTACCAAACGCATTGCGATTTTCTGTGAATACTGCTCAATATATGCTCGGAGGTCAAAGGTTTAACGTAGTTTGAGTTATGCTGCACTTGTTGCTCGACCTTTATACCAAGCGTCAAGACGGCAGGTAGAAATGCTACCTACTCCGTTTGTTACAAATGCAACAAATACATAACAGTGCACTCAAGAATGCTTGTCCATAAGTATAAAGGTCTGCTGTGTGTCTGAAAGAGTATGCTATACAGGCTTATGTCTCTCATTTCATTATGATGATAATAAAGAAAGTGTGCCGCTTGCTGCACTGAGCGACATAGGCCAGGTTTTTTTCTCGATTTCGGGTGTTCATACCCAGTACGGCGTAGCTCAACCAATTATCTCAGAAAAATTAGTTTATTTCTACTTATGCAGCAACTAACTTCAAATTGATGTATAATCACCTAGCAGCCTCAATGAGACAAACCAAATGCTTACACTTTGTAAATAGTTAAATATTAGTTGTAAAATCATCTAACTGTGGGCAATTAACTATTTCAGCATGACAAATCATGCATTGCCTTAAGCCAAATTTTAAAGTAGTTGAAATCAAATGCAGAGTCGGATAATTGACTGATGCCTAGGGCATCGCCATGTTAAGGTCAACAGTTCGTTCCAAGGAAGTAAGTCAGATCTTCAACTAGTTGTGGTTTGTATAAAACTAGTTGAACATCGATATTTAAACTAGTTTCTTTCCGTACTGGGTATTTAAAGAACATGTTTGATGCACTAGGAAAAAATTACCTGTATTTGTATTTTCACATTTTGTTTCCACAAGCAGATTTAATGACGAGAGTGGAATGCATGTGAAAGTAAATGTAGATGAGTTGATATCGGTCTACCTGCTAAGTACCTGCCCTTGTGTTGACACGGGCGATCATTGAAAGCAGCAAATTTTTATTTACTAGAAAAAATAATCCTAGAATAAAATAAATCCGCGGAAAATTATGTGCTTGCGCTTACTCCTGCCTCACAGCTACGCCGCAGAATAGATTCAAAATGAATTTAATATGAACAAGTAAAGAAGTATAAGTTCGGGCGAAACCGAACTTTATACATATAGCCGGCGCAGGTATCAAATGTCGTCGTTTAACTTTCTCTGCACTAGCTTTGCATGATAAGTAGGGGTGTTTACCCGATTTCAAACGTTTTCGATAATATGCAGAGTTAGATTTAATGATATAATGGAACCAAGTTGGGCTCAAATCGATAAAGTGGCTATCGAAATACACCTTTGTAGTCGTAATGTGGGCAGTGTCACGCCCACTTCCTCAAAGTCTATAGTAGTCTTATTTATTGTTAGGAGATTGTTTTAACTAGTTATTAACTTGAAGTAAATTAGCGTCCTCAGTTAATGAAATATCGGAGTTTTCGTATATTTGAAATTTACCGTTATACGGGAAGGGGGTGTTATTTTAGCCCAATTTGAATAATTTTCAATAAAATCCTTTTTTGTACAAAGGTTACTAAGTGCACCGAGTTTGGTGGCAATTGATAAATCGGTTACCGAGATACACATTTGTGGTCATAAGTGGGCGGAGCCACGCCTATTATCCAAAAATTTATAATACTTTAATCTTCTGCTAAGTGGTTATTGCAATAATCGATTTTAAGTGAACTAGCTCCAGTAGCTACTGATTTATCGAGTTTTTCGTCTTTTTGTAAATTACCGTTATATGGCAGGTGGGCGTGGTTATTGCCCGATTTCAAAGATTTTCAAGAGATTTCTTAGCGAGACCCTTGGTAAGGATTGGTGAAACGACTACTGAGATACAGCATTTCATCATACCACAATTCCACTCCACATAGTAATTTTCAACAATTTACATCTAATATTTACTGAAATATCGCAGTTTTGCCTTTTTCGAAAATGCCGTTATATGGGAAGTGGGCGTGGTTACAGTCCGATTTCGCCCATTTTCAATGCCAACCTACCTTGGATAAAGGGATATCTAAATTTTTGCTCGAGTTATCGTGTACACGGACAGACGGACGGACGGACAGACAGACATGACTTAATCAACTTCTCTTCTCATTCTGATCATTTATGTATACATTTGTGCATATTTATCTCGATTCGTTTTGGCTGTTACAAACAACCGTTATGCGAACAAATTTAATATACCCTTGTGCACAAGTGCGCTCGGGTATAAAAATGACAGAAGGGAAATCAATGTTATTGTGGCTTATTAACATTTTATTTTTAATATTTTTATTGGGCTTTGTACCACGATTTTTTATTAGGAAAAATTGAAAAAGCAACAAAGTCTAAGCGGTAGAAGTTATAGCAGCTATTTTGGAGATCACCACATCTCCTCATCAGACTTATTTTTTTTTTTCTAGACTTCAGGTGATCTCCGAAATAGCTGCTATAACTTCTACCGCTTAGACTTTGTTGCTTTTTAAATTTTTCCTAATAAACAATCGTGGTACAAAGCTCAATAAAAATATTGGAAATAATTATTTTTATCATCAGACTTCTTTTGTTTTCTAGACTTCAGGTGATCTCCGAAATAGCTGCTATAACTTCTACCGCTTAGACTTTGTTGCTTTTTAAATTTTTCCTAATAAAAAATCGTGGTACAAAGCTTCATAAAAATATTGGAAATAATTACTTTTATCGTCACTAGACACGAATAAAGGCGCGCATTCCCTAAATAGCTAAAGTGACGGTCCTGGGGTCTATGTTTTTGCGTCTTTTTCACCGACGTTTTTTTACGCGCCTTTTTCGTCAATGCGTCCTTTTTCGGCGTCAAAACAATGGCACGCCTTTATTCGTGTCTAGTGACGATATGTATATGTGTATACATAGTACATTTCTTGTTTCTTTGTTTTTGCTTTTATGTACATATTCAAAAATGTACAAGTAATTGTTAAGCAAAAAACAAAACCGACTTCAATTTTCATATACAAATTTAGGAGTACCGTTATTTTTTCATGATCCAATGATCGGATCTAAACCAGATTAGTATGGGACCACCTCTCAGACTACCTTTCCGATGCAAAAAGAATTTTCGAAATCGATTGACGTGGTCCAAATTTATGCGGTAACATACATAAAAAAAAAATATATTCCGACGAATTGATAACCTCCTCCTTTTTTTGAAGTCGGGTAAAAATACTACCGACAACCTATGATCTATCCGCGTTTTTTTATTCTGGTTCAACTATATACATAGATACATATGTATATGCATGCAAATATGTACAAGTTTACGTAAATGGACCTTGCATAGGTAAATACAAGTAGCCTCTCAAGTAGTAATTCAATAGCTGTGACGTAACTGAGGGAAAGGAAAAATATATAAAAAAATCTATAAAAATCACTGTCATGGTGTAAGCTTTTGCGGTTCTCAATGAGCTCTGAGCAGATGAAGCAAACATATATACATACTATACATATGTACGTACATGGGTATGTACATTATTATCTACAATTTATGTAACTGCGTTTCTCTATTAAAACAGGCGATACGATTACAACACAAAATACTCACATTTGTATGTATATTAGGGCGGTCCAAACATTAATTGGGGGGGAAGGAAAATTTTTCTAAATAGAGAAAATGAATACCCGCATTAAAAAAAATAAAAAATTATACTTAGAACTGCCTCAAAGGCAATGAAGTTTTCCATGTATTTTATGTGGGAGAAGACACTTTTTCGTACAATTGATATAGAATTCTTGAAAATCAGTATGTTTTCTTAAGCAGACTTCCAGTAACAATACCCAATTATTTATTTAATCATTTTTTAATATTATCTAACTATTTTTTACAGATCCCTCGTAAATTCCAAAAACAAAAATGCACAAAAAATTAATATATTCGCAAAACTATGGGTAAATAATAGTAAAACTTCGTACTTAGTTTTCTCTCTGACGTCAGGATTTTTCAAAATCTTTTTTTGAAATCTTAAAAATATGATTACTTCAAAAAATTATTTAAAATTTCAGTGCAATGTAGGATAACAATAAGTGTATCATATATGTAAAAGAAATAATTCTGTAGAATTATAACAGAATAAAGTTTTTGGTGCGTACGGACGAATAGGTATGGAAAATGTCCTTTACAAATTTTGTCCTTAAATATCCTTGACAATTTGCAATATGTTTTTTGAAAAAAAAAACAAATCGTTCTGCAAACGTTTTTACCTTAGCAAGATGAAATGCATTAAAAGCGCATTTTCAATACCTATTCGTCCTTGTAAACCAACTAACTTTATTGGTTTGATTTCTACAGAACTTTATCTCTCATTTGGTACCCATATTGTTATTCTACATTGCACTGAATTTTTAAATAATTTTTTTAACTAATCATATCTTTAAAATTTCAAAGTCCTTTGGAAAAAAAATCTTGACATCCGAGTGAAAAACTAAAAACACAGTTTTACTGTATTTGGCCCATTGTTTCGTGTGTATATGGATTCTTTCATGTGTTTTGATTTTTTTTTTTGTTTTTGCCGCACGGTGTTATCGGAAGTCTCCTGAAGAGAAATAGAGTTTTCCGATCGGAAAATATTGATTTTCAAAAATTCTATACCATTTCCACGAAAAAGTGTTTTTCCCCATATAAAATACATGCACAATTTTGTGGGTTTTAGGGCAGTTTCTATTTAGAAAAATGCTAGTGGATGGGAGGTTAACATTTAATTTCTTTTTTTACCAACCTAATGTAGATGCATGCCTACATACGGTGGCGATAATGTAAATAGGGAAGAGGCATTTTAGCAAGTTTTGCCTATTTTTCTTTGCTAAAACAATCGACGTATTTTTACAAATCTTGTTCCAAATTTTAAACTTTTTGATCAGATTTTTTAGAATTTTTTTTTAAGTACGCAGCTCTGTAGCCCATAAAATTTTAGTATAATAAAGTTCAAGTTTGAAGTAGCTAGGACTTACCATTGATTTTTGGCAATTTTTTGGTATGGAGGTAATGAGCAGCACCTTCCACAAAAAAAAAAGTGAAAAATTAAAGGTAAGTTCTAGCTACTTAAAATTTCCACTATATTATACAAAAATGAGCTAAACAACTGCATACTCACAATATTTCTAAGAAATCTAACTAAAAGGCTTAAAATTT